TTGTAAAGGAAAAGTGTGGATAGAATAGGAAAAGGTAAGGACAACTGTCAGGTTTTTATTGCTGAACATCCAGCATTGTACCTTTGAATGCCTTTAGGAGAAGCACTGCCAACAATAATACCGTGGAATGCCGAACACAAATTTTTGTGTTTAGGTTTTTAATGCACTATATTGCATTTACTACTTTGCAGACCTGTTAATATTTGTTGCCAGTGGAGGAGGTGTATGGACACCAGTGCTGGATTTAGACCTCGGGGGGCACGGGGCATTTCAAGTTCAGGGGGCCCTGGACATAGAAATTCAATTATATGACAAATATAAAAAAGTGAACTGAAATAAATTATATACCATATTTGTTCTAAAAAATATACGTTAGGTTCCAAAGAAGATACTTGACTGAATTTTTCTCCAATTTTTTTTTACTGTAAGTAATTGGAACTGGCAAGTCATACATCACAGTTATGCTGCACACTACAATATTTACAAAAAATCTTTCTTTCTGCACTTAATATCTGCAAAATTTCTTATTAACTAAGCAAACTGTATATTTTGAGGACACTGCTCTCGACAGCCATTAGTTACAGAACATTTAGACATTCACAGGCATACAGGTGGTGGCGTGTATGGATCCACAGGCTGAAAGGTTCAGGAAATGGAAAATCACTTGTGGGAAGTTTGGTCAAAGGATTCCGGGGCACAGAAAAAAAACCCATTGGTTAGAAGTCGATTTCACTACTACACTCTGTGCAAGACACGTAAGGAAGGAAGGTCCTCTACTCTCTATTTCTTCCAACACTTTGCTATGTCATTCTGTCAGAATTCCGATCCAGGGTCACACCTGTACCGATTTTGACCAATCTTGTAATTTCTGGTAAAACATGCTTACAAAACTTTTCCCTGTTCGAGTTCGCAGGAGTGTCGGATTTTTCCCTTGACCCAACAGAGGTCAAGCAGGGGAGTGAGCTTCTCTGTCACATTTCTCACTGTGGTAAATCGATGCTGGTCATTAACTTCACTCCTACATGATGGTGTAGGGGTTGTTGCCCTCACTTTCCAACATTTTCAAACTTCTCCCTTGTCCCACTCACTTGTCTCTCATAAACAAGGCACTAAATTCTGTGACACACTCATGTGAAAACAAACATCTTGAATAGTAAAATAATATGATAAGTTGAAACATAGGCAGGGGAGGACTGACAACTCATGGGGCCCCCGGGCAATAGGGGATCATGGGACCCCTGTGTCCTTGCCCAAACTCAAAAAAGCCTATGAAAAAGGTACCAGGGGCATCTCATGGGGCCCCCTACTGACCCCGGGCCCTCTGGCAGTGCCTGAGTTTCCAAATGGTCAGTCCACCCCTGAACGTAAGACATCTGCCAGAAACCCTCATCCCTTTCTTTTCTTTTGAAGTCAGGCTTAACTGTTCTCTATCCTGACACCCACACACACTTTGTTCATTTTCTAATAATAAAACCAATTTTATAAATATTACGTTTGTTTTATAAAGGAAGTCTGGGGTGGGGGCAGGGGCAGACTGACCATTTGGAAACTCAGGCACTGCCCGAGGGCCCGGGGTCAGTAGGGGGCCCCATGAGATGCCCCTGGTACCTTTTTCATAGGCTTTTTTGAGTTTGGGCAAGGACACGGGGCCCCATGATCCCCTATTGCCAGGGGGCCCCATGAGTTTTCAGTCTGCCCCTGGGTGGGGGGCTTTTGGCAGGGAGGGGCCTGGGGCAATTTCCTCTTTGGCCCCATTTAAAATCTGGCACTGATGGCCACATGCCTTGGGAACAGGTCACATGGACGCAGGGGATCCAGTTCCAGGGAGACACTGGAACATCTACCTGTAAGGGAAAAGGCAGATTTCCTAACAAGTGGAACTTGGACCTTGCTGTATAAATTAATATCTCTCAATATCTTCCAGTGACCATTGCAACCAAAACAGAAAATCATCAGAGTTATCATATGACCAACCTTTTTGAGATTTCCTCTCACTTTTTGTTGTGCCTCCATGCAGAAAGTAAAGGGAATTTCCCCACTAGGATGCAAACAGAAAATATATAACCTGTTAGGGGTTTCACCCTAACATACTCTTTTCTTGTTCAAACAATTTTATTAACAATAAACCAGAATGACACAAACAAGGAGACATTACTAATGTACACTGGACATTGAAGTGGCAGTAGGACATAAAAAAATGAATGAAGGTCACAACACAAATGTCTATATATTTCTGACGGAAACAGGTAGTTAAGAGTTGATAGCAAATGACGTTATTGTTTCAGCCAATCAGAGTAGTGTCTCGCAAGGGCATTAAAGAAATAGGGGGAAGTTTGGAGGGGGGTCAGACAGGGGTGGAAGGGGGGGAAGGGGAAGAGGAACAACAACGATGACTCATGAGCATTCATCAAGTTTACAACAGCCCCTACGTGCTGCGTATGAAGGGCTATTGACAATACCCCCTTGGCGCACAGTACACAATCAAGGGAGAAGGAATGATTCGTCAAAGTTAGGCGGGTGGAAACACTCTACCCAGGGGCTCCATATGCACAAGAATTTAGGGATCGTGTCAAGAATTGTGGCTTCCACCTTTGCATGTATCATGGCTTGTGTTATTCTGGTTTTGACGGCCGCGATACTTAGGGTGGGGGATTTCGCTGTAACCTGCTTAGCTGCCGTCGTAACTTGCATAAGGAGCTTGAATTGAGAATTGGAGATGCCAGGGGGGCATTGATTGAGTAGGGCTTTTGTTGGGTCGGGTCGTAGAGTGATAGTGCTAAGTGTAGATATCATGGTGAAAATTTTATCCCAAAATATTCGGGCTACTGGGCAGTCCCACCACATATGGTAGTGTGTTCCTGGTCCGTACAGCCTCTAAAATAGTTGGGCGAGTAATTAGGGGTAAATTTTGCGATTCTCGCTGGGACCAAGTACCAGCGGGTTAAAACTTTATAATTCGTTTCCAATGCTACAATGTTCTGCAAAGATGATTTTGTGTTGGCCCAAATGTGATCCCAATCAGATGGGTCGAATCTCTTACTTAAATCCACTTCCCACCTATGGGAATACAGAGGGGGGGACGTGGTAATCGAAGTAGCGAAGAGTGAGTATAAGCAGGAGATAAGCCCACGTCTATGAGGGTCTTTGCAACATGCTCGTTCAAAGAGAGACATGGCGTCTGGTTATTGTAGCGTAGGGGGTGTAGAAGTGTTGTAGCTGTAAGTATCTGAATATCTCGGAAGCTGGGAGGCTATGTGTTTCCCGCAGTGTGGCAAAGGATTTAAACTTATTCCTCTGTAGAAAATGATGTGTATGGAGCAAATTAGCAGAGGACCAGGCTTTGAATAAAAGGGGTGTCTGCCAGGCCAGGGGAAAAGCTGGGTTTCGGAGAAACGAGAGCATAGGATTATGTAGTGATTGGAGGAGATATCGGGTTTTCAGTTTGTCCCATAAGGATAAAAAGTGAGAAGTGATGGGGTTGGTTATAGAACGGCGGTCTATTGGCCTCAACCAGAGTAAGTTAGCTGTAGATAAGGGGTCACATTCTATCGATTCAAGGGCAACCCATTTAGGGATTTCAAAGGTTGCATGATATTGAGGCAACTAGGCTAAATGTGCTGCTTGATAGTATTTGCTGATGTCAGGTAAGCCTAGACCTCCATTGAGCTTAGGGCGATATAAGGAGGAGCGAGGTATACGGGACGAGTATTTCCCCTTACATAGGAAAAGATGCAACGCTGCAGTGTGCGGAGGTAGTGAGGGGGGACTGGGACTGGAAGGACTCTAAAACAGATATAGAATTTTTGGGAGGATTGATATCTTGATAACTGCTATTCTGCTTAGCCATGCGAGGGGAAGGGAAGACCATTTGGTCAGAAGAGCAGAAAGATGGTTTAGCATCGGAAGATAGTTAGCTGCGTAAAGGTCTGATAACTTAGGAGTCAGTTTGATTCCTAAGACCTAACATACTCTTTTCAAAGCTAAAATACAAAGAAAAGTTTTAGCTATACATACACTTTTTAAAGGGGTCTATAAGTGTACATTTTTTCCAGAAGATTTGCCCAACTTTCACCAAAGAGTCCAACATTTTTCTAATTGGAGTCAATTGGAAAAAATATGTTAATCCTGTGGAAAAATTGTGTGACTCTTGTGTTAAACATTTATAAATAAACCCCTAAGTGGCCTAGCACAGTTCACTGAAAGAAACTGGCTTCATTTTAGGGATTTTATCTTAATATAATCTTGACAATTGGGGTGTGAAGTTTTGTGGGTGGTGGTAGTATATTTTAACCTGGTACGTGCTGGGATTGCAGAGTGCTATCATCTGAAAGATTGGAGGTACACTACAGTGTTTTCCTGTATTTGTATTAAGAAATCTTGTTTAGGGTTGGCACAAAAGCTGTCAGTTCCAACTGAACCAAGTTCAGGAAGTACAATTCCATATTGTATAGTAACAAATGGGTATGCATATCGCTACGTATTGTCACCTACTGTGCAAGTACAATATTTTTTCTTTAATTTTCGCTGTGCATTTTTTACTTCTTTATTATTCAAACTATAAATAATTGGGTTTAAAGCAGGACATATAACATGGGAAAATAAAGATAAATATTTTCCCTGGTGCATGGAATACTCAGTTGAGGGTCCAAAGTACATAATAATGGCAGCACCATAAAATAAAAACACCATGGTAATATGAGATGTACATGTAGAAAAAGCTTTGGACATTCCTGAGGAGTGAATCTTCAATACATTGGAGATAATACATATATAGGATACTATAATAAACATGAACGGAAGAAGAAGAGCAATGAAGCAAGTCAGGAACATGACAATTTTGCTTGAATCAATACTCTCACAGGTTAGTTGTATGATGGCTAAACCTTCACACATAAAATGATTGACCTGGTTGGGATAACATAGAACCACTGGGCACAGCAAGAGGTGGAAAAATGAAGACTATGAAACTCATTATCTATACAAAGGCAGTCAGTTGGTAACATACACTCCATCTCATCAGAACTGGATAACGCAGAGGGTGGCAAATGGCAACATATCGGTCATAACCCATGAGAGCAAGGAGCAGAGACTCTGTACCGGACAAAAGAAGTATCATGAAGCATTGAAGGCTACAAGCACCAATTGAGATTGTTTTTTGAAGGGAAATCAGGTCAGAAAGCATCCGGGGCACAACAGATGTTGAAATACACAAATCCAGAATGGCTAAGATACAGAGAAAAAAGTACATTGGAATGTGTAATTGGGGGTTAATGAGGATCACGCAGAGTATAAGCATATTTCCCATAAGAGTAATATAATATATCCCTAAAAAAAGTGCAAACAGTCCTGAGTTTATCTCCAAATCTTTGGAAAACCCCAGAAGAACTAGTTCTGTTGCTAGAGTCTGGTTCTTGGAATCCATCAATTGGAACCTTTAAAAAAATATAATTTTCATTTTTGTTGCAAATAAAGACAATGGTAGATCATTTTATTGACAAAATACCTGACATAGTAACAAAAGGATGTGAAGTTCCCTAATGTCATAGACTTAAAGTTGAACTAAGGGCCAAACTTCTTTTTTTAAATTTTGAATAGAGTAAGGGAGGGTTATTACCCCATCTGTTTGTTTTGTTGTTTTTTTTTACATCTGTGTCCCATAAGGGATTATTCTCTTTAAGTCCTGTCCCATAGCTAAAACAGGAAATGGGAGGACATTCTTCCAAAGTGAGGAAATCCCTTGTTGTCACCAGGGTCATCAGAATTAATGGCCCTGCTGGAAGATTTTTCCTCTATTCCTGTTCTGGTGACAACTCAAAATGTGGGATTTATTTCACTTTCCCTTTCTGGATGATAATGGTAAACAGGACAAACACAGAGGGTGAATCTATGTAACTGGGACACAGATTGCATTGGCAGTGACTCTGCTAAGCTAGATGTGAGGTAAGGTTGTCTGACTTGTAAGGTGGTCCCAGGTCATTTCCATATAGCGGCTGCAGTGAACCATTCCCCCACTTGCCCCCTTCTGCTGCCTGAATGGGGGCAGCTGCGGGCCTCCCTCCCCATTTCAGGCCACCACTGCATGGGAGACAGAGCAGCTCTTGTCAGGCTCGCTGCCTGCTCTGTCCCCTGATTGGCCACAGCGGAAGACCAACCAGAGAGGGAGCATCATAAGATATGTAGTCCAGAAGACTGGCTGCCCCATTGGAACAGGAAGAGAGCAAAAAACAGCCCTAAGATGCCAAGAGAGGTAGGAGAGAGCCAAGAGCCTGAGAAAAAGGGTTCTGGAGGCAGTACTACAGGAGCCAGGGTGGTGAGAGGACTGCATTGGGGGACAGGATCCCAGAGAGGAAGAGACTGAGTCACTGGAGAGCAGTTACTGTGTTGGGGAGACCAAAAAAATCTGAAGAATATATTTAAAAAATAAATATTATTTAAAATATATATTTTTTAAATGTATTCTTCAGATTTTTAACATATAAAAAAAGTCATTTTAACATATATTTTTACATATATTCGTAAATGTATTCCAAAAATGTAGATTTGTATTTTTAAAGACATACAGTATATTTGAAATGTATTTTTAAAATAATTTTTTATATATTTTGTAATAAAAACGCCAAATTGTAGCATTTCAAATATATGGCAATATATTTGGGAAGACTATTTTTAAAATATATTACAAATATATTTGTCTTTCATATGAGTACCGCACTGTGACCTGCGACCAGAGGGATGGGGTCGCTGCTAGGATACAGTCCCTACCGTATTAACTGCCTGAGCCATCACAGACAACCCAGAGTGAGCGGACACCTGATCGAAGGGATCTCTGTGAAGCCGCACTCCACTTAGCTCTTTCTGCAGTATTTTTAATTATCAATGAATTGACTTCATACAGTGATGTATCCAACACATAACCCACCTTGCTTGCCATGGGGAAATCTCTATCCTTGTGAGCAAGCCAGGAGTGGTAAAATGCATCAAGGAAGGTAAGATTTGGGTTCGGGACATCACTGTATGCAGTCAATTCTTTGATTATTAAGAATACTGCAGGAAGTGCTATGTGGAGTGCGGCTGATATTCTTTCCTATACTTTACTCCTCCATAGATACAGTATATTCAATGATCTTTGTCCCCCTAGGACATGGAGTGTGTTACTGGCCGGTTCACCAGGAAAAAATTTACAAAATCCAGAATGTACTAAACTAATGCAACTGCCATATGTAAAGACTAATAAATCGCAATATATGCATATTTATTATTGGGTTTAGATATGCTCTACGTCAAAATAAACAATGCATTTATAAAAAATTAGCCACTGAAAATCTGCAAATAATAAAGTGATAAAAAAAATGGACTTCTCATTCTGCAAAGGCTGGTCGTCCGGCTGTCATATTAAATCATTTAACTTAAATATATTGAGGTACTAACCCAAACTCAGTCCAAAGACAAAGGGTTCTGACTGTTCACATATTTTCTTGATTTGATTGCTTGTCCTGTGATAGTGACTCAGTTAGAAAGTAGCAAAGCAAGAGGTCGGCAGTGGAAACCCCCATATTTTCTTAAAGTAGTCACCTTTAATCAGTGTCAGTCTATCTATTTAATGTGCTCATTAAATCACAAATCTATTTATTTTAAGGTCTGAAAAGCAAATGAAGAGATCATATCTCAAAGGTTTTCTGCTGACTTCCACTTGCGAGAGGCTCTTAGTGGACAGATAGATGATACTGTTATATAGATAATGCAGTAACCCCTGAGAGTAATTACTGCTGTTCAATCAGAAACACATTGAATGGCTGCAGGTAAGGGACTTAAAGTGTATGTCTGGGTAAAATAATAAATAAAAAAATGCCTGTTATCTCTACAGTACATACACATTTACCCATGTTTGTCTTTTAAACCATTTGAGGACCTTGATCACAGGAAATCTTCCCTAAAAAACGTCAACAAAGTTGCAAGGGCATATCTTTTATGTTCTGTTCCTCTTCCCCTGTTGCTGCTCCCCATTATCACATAGCAGGATTGACTATCAAAATGCAGGCACTCCAGGTCAATCCAATAGGCAGCCAAATGGCCAACTGCAAGAGCTTGCACAGTGTAAAATATCGTATTGTCTCGATATTTTATTAACTTGTATTGATGAGAAATGTTCAAATAGAAAGTCCTTCCACTTCTTGCATAAACTCAAAAAGATGATTTAATTATAATGTTGCATAAAATTAGAAATAAAATATTGGAATACAGAATGTTTAAATAAAGTCCAAAAAGTATAGTTAAGTTCTTAATAATAAAATTGTATGTAATTGTGTGTGTATAATATGAATGTGTGTGGGTATGAGCAAGCAGCTCCCTTCGCCTTGCTGCCCAAAGAATGTGTGCTTTAAACCTTTGTCCTGCTCCAGAAAGAGCAATCCAGCCCCACCATCTCCTAAAAATGGTCTGTATACTTGTAGTCCCACAAAGATAATTGGAAACAGATGTGTATATATAACAAACCTCCAGTCTACTTCTCTCAAAGTCTGAGTGTAACTTTATCTCTTACATAGATGGGGGAGGATGGCTAGACCAATTGCTACCATATGTGTGGCTTGAATGTAAAGAAAACCCAAGATATATGTTCATATGTATATTCACAGACTATGAAGTCTAATTACTTACTTTTCCCAATCTAGAACAAATATAAATATAATAACTCAATTATTCTATTAAGATCCAACTCATTCATACTTATGTTAGTACTGTTAATAAGAAGATATTAGATATTAGGTTAAGGAAAGCTTCTAACATTTCCCTCTCAAAATGATCAATTTTATCGAATCTTAATCATTTTCCTTATCTTAATCCATTTATACACATTCTCGTCACTGTCGTATCCATTCATGCGTTTTTGGATCTTAAGATAATTGATCTGAACATATCTTTAATTTGATTCTATAATGGGAAAACAAATTCTTTGATAAACCTTTTGTTATGTATCACATAAAAATATTTTTACCCTTATTATTTTCCTTTTACCAAATAATTAATCTCCTTAATAAATGTATAAATGTAACATTATAGTACAATACTTTAAAATATGTCACTTAAAAAATAGATGTTTCATATTTTCCCTCCAAAATGTGTGTAGCACACAGTTCTATAATCCATACATTTTTCAAATTACCTTATCAACATTTAAACATAACATATGTTCTCTAACTTCAATCCATACATGTATATCAAATGATTTTTAAAAAAAAAAAAACATACATATAACAATGTAAAGCTTGCCTAAGTTTTTCTATATGTACCTTAGAAAAACTTATCTCTAGCTTAATTAACAACAGATGTTCTAATAAGTAGAGTGACTCTGTTAGTAAACTAAAACAAAATGTTACTATAACCCTTTCCACTTGAAATGAAAATACCTAGTGTGTGATTGCAAATGTTCATGTGAAAACTTGATACTCATCTTGATATGGTAAAAACAATTTATGTCAAAATATAAAATGTACACAAAAAAAAAAACCAATTATCTATGATCTGATGAATGAATTATACTGAAGCGTTCTAGAATTATTTCTAGTATTTATTGCAATATCAAAAGAGTTCAAATAATTAGGCTCACTTAGTCCTAGTAACTAGAAATGCATAAAATATTTGCAGTGCTAAATCGCATAAAAGTATTAATCCTCTTCATTTATCCTTTAATTTTTGAACCATATCAGCTTAATCTCATATTTGAATAATCATCGGCTATAAATGATATAAAAGAGATATAATAGATTATAATACCATTATTGAAATTGTCGATAAATAAATAATTTATAGATTGCAGGCATTCACGCCTAATTATAACTAGGGTGTGATTCAGAATTCCCAACCACTGGCATAGTTGCAGGAGTTTGATTATTGTTCTCTGTGCTTGGTGGTTATTAAATAATAATTAATAAATTTAGTAATTTATATACTAAATAAGATGATAATAATTATAAAAATAACGAAACTAATAGATATAATAATAGATTATTAACAATATCAGTATAATGATAAATAATTATAAAAAAATATATCACTACAAAATTGACGCCCCTAAAAAAGTACCTGAAATAAAAAAAAAAAAAATTATAACAGGACGTAAACCCCCAATTATTGGCCCCATGTTTCCCCAAAACCCTTGGTTTAAAAACCCAAAAAAGGTTTTAAATTTTCCCCCAGAGATGAAAAAAGAATTATGCCTTTGTTTTGATCTCTAAAAAAATTGGGAATTTTAAAATGGAAAAAACCTGAAAAATTTTGTTGGAAAAAAAATGGGAAAAAAAAGGTTTAAAAACTTTTTTGTAGTGTAAGACTGAATCCCCGTAAAACATACGGTTTCAAACTTTTTAAATTCCCAAATTGAAAAAAAGGGGTTTAAAAACTTCTAAACCTACAGCTGTAAAAAAC